CCACTTCGAAACCTCCTCCTCTACTAGGCTTAAGCAATAATGCTCATTCTCCTGACTTGCCATGGGAACCAAAATGTCCACTTCACAGCATCGTAAATCGTTTTAGGTTATTTCATAGATTTCTTCACACTTTTTTCAGAAAGTATTCCTCATCTTAGTTTTGAATCGAAGCCTAAGTGAATAAATGGCTTGAGCACTAAAAGCTATCGTCGTCTGCGACAACGATTCCAATCCATCGTCTCCTTGCTACGTCTACGACTGAAATCACTCTTAGCGTGGCCCTTGCAGTAGTGGGTCGAGGCGGCCCATGATATGAGAGGTCCGCACAGTCTACTTATCCCACCATTCGAATATGACATAATAACTCACCTCTATCTACACAAACATGCATATCACTCGATGTCTCTTTTGTTGTCATTTTGTAGTACCTGGACTCTCGTCACTCACCTCCCAAATAATATTAGGTTGGCAAGAAAGTCCTGCAACACTTTTTCAATTTTTGATTTTAATTTTATCTTTTTTGTTTACAACTCCTGACCGGTCATATATCTACCATGAGTGTCCACCACTTGTCTTCAACGCTCAGAAAATTTCTTGATGCTCCTTTGCCAAAACCCAGCGGAGTGCGGGTCAAGAAAGGAGGCGACCTCACTTTCGAGTTGGAGTTGATCGTCCGATTATTTTTGCGCGTCGTCGCGCGCAAATGATCGCGCGCGACGACGTCACTCCCGGACGATCCTGTTGACCGCTCCCATTTTTGATGCAAGCGCCACTTGGTACCAGTTTAGCGCCAATATCGTGCCCACTTGCACCATAATGGCGCCAGATGGGTGAGGCACCTAAAATGAAGATGAAATTCGCAGCTAACTCTAACCGTAAACGCGAGTTTACCCGTAAATGTGAGCTCACATCGAATTCGGTGAACACAGGGTTGCTCCAAATTACAGTTGTGTTGGACTCTCTACCCCTCATATATACTTTTTCTATTTCTTGTCTACACGAATTGTTGTGCCTTTTCTCGCAAGTTATATTAAGTGCACCTTGGCTAACAATTAAGCTCAAAAATAAAACTATTCAGCTTTCATTAACCCTCTCCTCGAACGCTGCAATCAAAAAAGTAATAAGAGCTGGAAGAAGTGCTGTCAAGAAATGCACGTGATCATCAGTGGCTACACTTTAGCCTGGACTAAAAGTGTAGTGGAAGTACAGAGTGCTTGAGCACACGAGCCAGCCCATCGAAAAACAAGGACCTCTCAGTGCGTCTCAAAATTCGCCTACGTCATCAGCTCTTAAAATCAGCTTTGTCCTTCCCAAAAATAGCTCCAACAGCACAAGCGTCAATCGATAGCGTCCACAACAGCGTTCACAGCTGCCGCCCACGCACTCTTGCATTATGCCACTTACCCTCGCCTTCAAATGACCAGAAATTGTGCAATTGCAGAAATTGACGTGGCATTGGCACACGTGGCTAAATTCTCGATGAAAAGGTGACATCACGTGTGCTCAGGGGCCGTATGCTGAATGTTGGGTAGGGGCTGGGGTCCCCGACCCGCGATGCTGAATGTTGGGGCTCCCAGCAGAGTTTCGTCGCGGGACCTACAGGTGACTGGCCAGTCCTTTAATTCTGTGATGAAGTTTTTGTCTTTTCACTGTTTCTAGATTACAGATTGTCCACGTATATGCAGCTATATTGTTGTAATTGCTTTAGTTTATCCTTTGATTCTTTCACATACTGGAGCGTTCGTGTACGTCTAGCTGCATTGCCGTAATCTTGCCAGTCTCTTCATTCACTACTTTAGACCGAAAATTGGTTCGCGCCTTCTACTACTTTGTGCGATACTGGTGTATTACTTCAGTATAGCAATGTGTGCGTGGGCGAATTTGTTATCTAGAACAGTGAAGAGACAAAAACTTCACCACAGAATTAAAGGACTGGCCAGTCACCTGTAGGTCCCGCGACGAAACTCTGCTGGGAGCCCCAACATTCAGCATCGCGGGTCGGGGACCCCAGCCCCTACCCAACATTCAGCATACGGCCCCTGCAATTGCACAATTTCTGGTCATTTGAAGGCGAGGGTATGTCCTTGTTTTCCTTATCATTATTTCATACACTCAAAAGTGTGCACTCAGCTAAAGAACACCATCCAATAAACAATCAGAGAGAAACGTTGCCGCCGATCGTTACTTATCACGAAAGCGCTATCTGATCGCCGTTTCGCACTTCTTCGTTCGCTTCCTTTTTTCAATAAAATACTCCACGTCGTATTATCGATCCGCTAGACGTTATCGATAAAATAGAATGAAAACGTCGTAACACTACTAAATGACTCCGATGTTGTTATGATCCCGTATAATAGTTGGAAATCGATCCATTTGCTGTTCAGCAGTTCGTCAACACAATTGTGACGGAACTGCCCCTCAACACGGCACATGTCGCTGTGCTCGTGATCTGCATTTCGCTATTTCTCCTACATTCCCGTCTTGTCAATATTTTTCGTGGTGTATGATCGATTTGGTTCTTTTTTTTGCGCCGATGCTGATGCTCGCTTCTCCTCATCTCCTCTTTCGAAATCGATTCCTTGGTGTGGTATTCAAAAAACCTTCACCTCTTCTCGGACGAGTATTATTTGTGTGATTCGAAATTCGTTCCCGTTGGACTTCGTACGCGTTCCCGAAAAATCTCCCATTGATCGATATCGGCCAGCAAGCTGCACTGTTACTGATTACCCTTTACAGCAGTGAAAGAATGCTTTTGTCTAATTTTTCATAATGGTGCAATATTTCACGAATAAATTGAAAGTAAATTACCTAATGGTAAAATATCTACAAGGTAAGTTCCGAAATAGCACTACCAATTGATAGATCGCGTTTTTTTGTTGTAATTCATGTTTGCCTCTTTGAAGCAGGAAATTGTGAAGTTGTAAGATGTTTAAATGTTGCGAAATTTATTTTTGAAACTGTCAAAATTCGCTCTAGGCAGTTTATTCGCGCCTTGTTCCTTTTTGGGAATTTTGAAAGGAAAGTTATTTCTGCTAAAATTCCATCAAATGTTGGAGTTAATTGCACTTTCACAACCGCCACTCACACTTCTTCGATCTGGTCACGTGACTTGCAACTGGAAAACAGGTTTTCCTTTCAATCGCTGGATTTTTTCCCGAAATGTTGCCAGCTTTTTGAATCAATCGATTATCCATAAGTAACTATAAGCAGCATTCGATGATTTCTGTAATATAAGTAATGTAGGACAGCGGTGTGGTTTAGATTGGATGTCTTCATAGTTTGACCACTATTCCTTTGTGGTCTATTTTATCGTAGCAGATTCGATATAATCTTATATTTACTCTGACCTCACTACTAGCTATTACTGCTGACGTTGTTGCCTGTACTCGTGTTCATTATCGATCTATTCATGAAAGCCTGCTCGTGCTTGAGTGAGACATTCGATCTCATTTTTTGTTCCTTTCAAGGCTGTTTTTTGCGAGAGATGGTGGCCTGGGATCTTCTTCTGCTTTTTCCCGTGAACATCGCTTATTGTAGTTAGGGGGTAGTCGAACATCGTGTGGAAGTAGGAGTCTCGGATGAAATGTTGTGAGGGTGCCGATATTTGCCGGTTTGTCATAATTTTGTTGCTGTATATATCTTGTCTTTCTTTACAGATGTAGTCAGTCTTCTATTAAGGATATATATTTGAACAGGACTATCATGATCAGCACAGCTGGAATTGCCTCGAGACTGTGTGGTCCTTTTTATTAAGTTCAGACTGTTGTGGGCATTGTCTCAATTTTCACATGATCATATTTATCGTATGGCATTTGAATTTGCAACTGCTACTTTTTAATCTTTGAATGATTTCGTCATTTTTATGGGTGGAGGAGTGCGTTGGAATAAAAATGGACCGTCCACCTTATCTGTTACTACTATTTCTTGAGTTTTTTGTACGTGTTGTGATATCTTTGTGTTCTTTAGCGTATTTTTTCCTAATTTTTGCTTCATGTGCTACCTGTTTTCGTCAAATTCATTCTGTAATCTGCAATTCTTTTTTATCTTATCACTGTGTAAACGTTTTCCGTTAGCTTCTGACTGCTATTTAGGTGCATTTCAATGCTTTTGATATAGCGTTCTCAGCATGAAACCCTTCAACACTATTGCATATAACTGCTCCTTGCCGGAGAATTTTGAGCGGCGTTGCATGCATAGTGTGCCTGTGATTGGTTGGATGCCTGCACTGGCCAATTACAAATGCCATTCCCACGCTTTCCAAATTACCGTTCATTTCGATTGAATTAGTTTGCGTAGCGTTCCCAGTCGGCTGGCTATACTGACACCGTCTTATTCCATTATCAAACAGTTGCTGTAAGTGACTTTTTTTTGATGAGATTTCTTTCTGCTTCTCGCTTCGCACCTTTGCATATTCCTCCTTCTCGCGCCAACTCCTTTTAGCACCACTTCCCCTACTCGTCTTTTTTTAATGTAACCCTTGTTCAGTATATCCCGGTTTTCATAATATTTATGATCAATTATCTAGTTTGGCCCGATTTTTTTCTTATATTTTCTAATTCAAATTTTAATATGAACATTTATTCTATAGTAAGTCATACAATTGCATTACGTACTCTTCGATTTTTCAAGGTCGTAGTGGCTGTCGTTTGCAATTCTTTGCATCAATTATTAACCAATCAGTCATCAAATCGTCATAGTAGTAAGAAATAGGACACCGTGACGTTAACTGTTCGGTGGCCTTCGTATCGTATCAACTCAATCCATCATGCGTGACCATGTTTCCATTTTTCTTACCCCAACTTGACCTTTTGGAAACCAAATTTTTGAAGCCAGTAGGGGCAAGGCTACATTTTCTGGCTGGAAAAACTACGGCGTTTTCTTGAGCATTTCCCTTCTTTTCCCTATAAATACTTTCCAGCTTTTCAAGTGGCATTTTTGAGTAGATCCCACAACTCATTGCTTTATAGTAGCGGACCTTAATTGAAATTACGTTTTGCACTATGGTGATTGAACCCAGAATTAACAATGTAATTACAACGTTTCCCTTTCAGTGGGGTGCAAAAACTACGCATGGCTATGAATATCTTGAAGAAGAAAGTGAGCCAACCAACTCAGCAGAATCGCCACCCTTTCGCATCAAAAAGCGGCACTCGTCAGGGGATCTCGGTGAGCTGCTGACTTATTCAACCTCTGTTACAGTCCGTCCGTTTGCTGTGTCCAAGTGGTAATGCTCAATTATAGTGGAGAACGTGTCTTTATATTTTGGAGGTATTATTCATCGTGAAAAGTCGGAACTGGTCGATTCAAAACTTCATTCAACCGATGAGCCCGAATGTCGGCAAACGACAGTCAGTGTTGTAGTCGATGACAGTATTGACTTTATTGCGGTAAGTACAGAAGATTTGATGAAGTCATTGGTTCAATTATTGACCGGAAATCTTCTTGTCATTTATCAGTATTTTATAGGCCGGCATTGAGGCCATCATTGAGGATCAAGTGACAAGTCGATTCCGAGCCGAACAACTACCATCGTGGAATCTTCTTACCAGAACTCGATATTCATTCCAATACATCAAGTTTGTCATCGAATTTCATATTACTCGTTTTTTTCCTTTTATTAGACTAGAAATACTCTTGTAAAGGTTGCCTTCGGTTCGAGAGAAACTGCAAATGTACCGTATCAGTTTGGTGGAGCAGCTGACTCAAAGCCTCAAAGGATTCCCCTTTTGTTGAAAAATCTTCGATAAAATTACAGTTCGGCAGCGCCTAGGCATGGAGGCCGCGAAGCTGGAAATCATCGAAATGTCGATCTCTTTCCACTCTTTCCACTTTTACTAATGAAGTTAGTTTTGGTTTAGTGCACTAGTTTTCTGTGAGTTTCAGTGGCGAAGGAAATTAATCGCCTTGTCAGGCTTCATGATCGGATTTTGAAAGCTGGTCTCAGGACATCTGTCAACCGTGAGCCTTGGCGGTTCAGCGTTTTGTAGTGATGTCTGGGAGCTCTCACAAGTGCACACTATCACAGCCTCTTTCTTTATCTTCTTCAAAAGGCTTAGTCCCAATAAGACACAAAGTGTGTGCTTTTCCAGCTACGCTCTCACCCTTTGGTTGACAGAAGCCTTGTAACCTTGAAAGCTTGGCGTGTTCCGTCGTTACAGAACGTTCTCAATTCTTTCTCCTCTTGCATGTGAAGTAGCGACTACTAATTGTTTAGAAATACACGTTAGGCTCATTTCATAATGTTAGGTAGATACTAAATTTCTCTGCTTTGACCTTTTCTGTGAATATTTTTCATTAACCAAACTGCTTAGGGATTTGGGGGGCGGGGGTAGTACGTGAAAACCAGGAAAGAGACCAGCCGGGCGTTCTTCCGTTATAAAATGCCATGCCGAACTTTCCTTTACCCTTTAAAATGCGAAGGCAGATGCGAATCCACTTCCCGCTGAACTCAGGTCAGCGGATGTTTTACTTTATCAGTGAAGCACTTACGCGGCGGCATTGCTGTATTTGGTGAATCAGGACCCAAAGGACTAGGCTAGTACATACGTTGTGGGATCATACAAATAGAGACTGATTATCGAAGGCAACCACTAATCACAGGCTCATTTCGCTCGAATTCGTCTTTAATTGAAAGCCGAAACGATCCTTCCTCCTGACTTGCCTTCGGACAAGGTGATCTCTCAATTATGTTTCAGCTGGAAGTTGTCTTTATTATGGGCAGCTGGTTTCCTGTTCCGGTATCTGATCCTGGTTCCAATCCGTATTCTTCTTTTCATTCTTGGATTATCAACGATGTGTGGAGTGTGCTATATTGTAGGACACGTTCCCAATCAAAAGTAAGTGAACTTTCTACACACTTTGTATGGTTATTCAAAATTGCTTTTGAAGTTCAATCAATTGTGCTATCTTAGAATACGAAAGTTCCTCAATCGGCATGTTATGCTTGCGTCTATGCGTATATTTTCGCGATCGTTCTCCAGCATCATTCGATTTCATGATCAGTGAGTTTCTCTTTCGTCTTTCTCTTTGAATAACCATTGCGCGAATTACATGCTCTTTTCTGTCTATTTCTGCGGTAATTATATACTAGTAAATGTAAAACTTATAATTTTCTCAGAATTTCTGCCGGCTTAAACTCGTTCGTGTCCTGAGTCACTATTTTTTTTTGGAGACTCTCTCACCATTTGGAGGGTAGTCAGAGTTTTACTTATGAGCTGTCGCCAGCTGTATAGCCCCCGATTTTTTTTCTGGCGCCGGCTGCAACAAGCCCCAACTTAGGGATGGGTCCCCAAAACTCTGCATCTCTGGACGCTTCCCCTATTCTTGACCATGAGTTGCGTCATCGACCAGAGTAGAGACGCAGAGTTTTGGGGACCCATCCCCTAGTTGGGGCTTGCTGAACCCGGCCCCTGATAAACGTGGCAAAAGTAAGGGTGCTAACTTAGTTGGGGGGGGGCACGCGGCGGCGCGGCAGTCTGCTCGCCTGGCATGTTCGGAAATCCGTGGGCCAGGGGGAGTGTAGGCAGTCTAGGGGGTGGGGGGTGGGGGCAGTCACTTGACATGCGTGAAAAGCTGGAATGTTCGAGTTTACACTGTCTCGCTCGAGAGAGCCCAGGTGAGCAGACTGCCGCGCCGCCGCGTGGCCCCCCCAACTAAGTTAGCACCCTCCTTCACTTCGATAGGCTTCTATCGATGTCGACCGTTGGAGAACG